GTGTACCCTTCAAAACACACACTTGAGGGTTGATCGTGAAGATAGGCGAGGAATAGCCGAATAGGTTTTAATATGGAAGGGTCCCTCAGTCTAGCTAGCAAATAACGCCCACTTGCCTCATCCGAATTTTGCGTCATCCGAACCACAGGCGGAGTCAACGGATCCACATGTAGCCCGCCATCCTTCCTCGCACCTTCTTCCACAACCATTTCCACATTTTTCAGCCCAAGAGACTTACAAGCAGCAATAGCCTCCTTGTCAGAACAAATCTTAACAGATTTGACCTCCCCCGGTATAATTACGGATGTCGAGTCTGAGCAAGGTGGTAGACTTCGGATGTCAACAGTGTTTGATAAGATATGTTTACAGCCTGTGGACGAAGTACCTGGTGCTGGCGGCGATATCTTTAAAGGTCTTGTAAAAGAATTGGCAGTGACTATTTCAGTACCTGGCGGCCACATACCTATGTCCTTCAGCTGCTCAAGGTGGCTCTTGTTCTGCACACCAATTTTGAAGTCAGAGTGTGAACTGTCCTTATTTTTCAGCAAGGGAAAGCATAAAGTCAGTAGTTCCAAGCTTTTCCTTGGCATAGTGTGCAATCTGGTTTGCTGTACAAGGAGGTGGGATTTTGGACACTATCAGGTAATGCCAGTCCTTTCTTGGACAATCCGTGAGGAGTGGGTGTAATGGTATTTGGAGAAGTAATACCCCCTGTATCCTTGTTATCTGAATGGTCAGTCTGCGTCGAACTAGACTTTTTTCTATTTGTGGGTTACTTTTAATGTTCTTTGGAGGAATGTTCTTGGATGTCTTTTCACTGGAGGCCAACTTTTTCAACATGAGTGCCATTTTATTTACACTCAAACTCAAAATCACTCAACTCCTTTGATAAGTCTTCCTTTGATGAGTCATGAATTTGGACCTTAATAGACTCATCATGATTGTCCAGTAAAATAGACGACAAGTTGAAAATATCTTGCTTCATGTCCCTGATGGAATGGAATAAAGATTCTTGCCTACCATCTGATAAACTGGTGTGGAAACTGTGAATGTCATCCACTTTCTTGTACAAGCTCTTCCACTTGGAGTCATGGTAACTCAAAATATCGTACATCTCACTAATGACCGGAAGGAGATCATTGTTCTTCTTTAGACAGGTTCCCAGAGCTTCGACAGTGTCTAGAGAGGCTTGCGATTTTTGAACTTGAGTTACCTTGTCATGAAGATATTTTAACGTGGGTGAGTCACAGATATTACAGAAAAATCTGATATTGTTGAACTTTTGTTGGCAGAGTATTTTTGTTGTTGTTTTATCTAACCCAGTACAAGACATACAAAAGTTCCGGCGACATTCCCCATTACAACGAAGTTTATATTTGTCCTTTTCCGAGACGACCTTCTGGCAGGAATCACACTTAAACTCAGCCATTTAGATAGAAGCAATGAACGATTTTAAATAAAGTCAATGACAGCGGAACGGAAAAGAAATTAGGTAAATAAACCGAATATAGTAAACGCGCACAACAAAAAACTTAGCACGCCGTAAGGTTCAAGTTCAATAATTATAAACACAGGTTAATGGTATCAATACCAAGTCGAGATTTAAAACAAACAAAAAAACACGTAAACTAGCACGTCGTCACGTTGTCAGGTTACCAGAGTACATCAAAACAGAAAACAACGCAAATTCAAATAAAGTTCAAATCAAACAAAACAAAACAAACACTCAATACCGGTAGCGCCAGCGAACGAAAAACACGATCGTCTCGCTAGACTGCCAAACCAATACTCAAGTGTAGCATCTTTAGTTTATGTGTAGCATCTTTAGTTTCATACGAAAGTAGCATCGAGATGTGAAAACCGCTCCTTTGTATCTCTACGCATAAACGAGAAACCCCATAAAACACACGAAAATGGGACACCCTGTACAAGGTGGTTCCAATTGGACGTTTTTACAGGGAAACACCCTTTTCTATAGGAGACGAAAAACTAATATGTGTGTCTAGAGCTCAATTTTTATCAAAAACATGATGGTGAAAACCGCACATCGATATCTGTTACCGTTCACGAGTTACGGGGTGTTTTCCAAAAATGTGCATTTTTAACAAATCACTATAACTTTTTTACTATGGAAAATTTTGTATTTTTATGAAACCATTTCCAAAGCATCCTTTTACGTAGAATTTAATGGTTAAATATAATTTTTTAAAATTAATAATAATAATAATAATAATAGGCTCCCGTATACCTATAGCGTTTACCGCCTTGGGAGTAGCAAGGTACAGCTTGCCATGGTAGAGCCGTTCGGTATACAAGGAAGGTAATGTGACAAGCACTACGCTTCAACCGCCTATTATTACCTCAGGATTATGAATCCCAAGTACTCATTTAAGGCTGAGTCGACCTAGGTACCCAAGCTATTTTTATTTTATTAAAAATAGTCGGCTGATGAACTGCCAGCTGTAGGATTCGAACCCACAACCTTTAGATTGGTAGACAAGAGCTGTGCCTCTACGCCACCGGGCACTTTAACGAAAACCTTAACGTTAAAATTAATAATTTAAGATTATCAACAGAAGAAAATTGGATTTTTTATATGGGACACCCTGTATATTTTTAATTCATTGAAAAGAATTTAAAACTACCTTTCGAAAATATAGCATACTTGATATTTTGCTCGATTCCTCTTCGAAATATAGAGTTTTTAAAAATTCGCCCACTTTGAATAAGTAGGCTTTGAATGCAAAAAAATTCTAGCCGTGAGCAGCAATTAAAACGAAAATAATATTTGCAATAAGAGGTGCAGAATTTTATAACAATTTAAAAAAAATTATATTTAACAACATCAACACATTTAAACTATATCTAAAAACAGTAAAAATTAATAGCAAACCAAGACATGAAATTTTGCTACAGATGTTCGACATGTCGACCATCTTTGAACAATTCTCGCAGAATTCATTAACTCAGTGGCAGTGAAAGATACCCTCGTATAACCACTAAGTACACCTAATTCTTGTTTAGATCATACGGGCAATCTAAAAATAAGAACCTTTATTCTTCCGCAAAGATAAAAATCCATAGGCACTAAGTCTGGCGGCCTCGATGCCCAACGGCTGGGATCTTGGTTAGCTATTAAATTATTCTCGAAATTGGCTGCAAAAATTTGTGCTATATTTTTGATTACAGTTGAGGGTTGGAACCTTTGGTGTTACACAGCAAAATAAAAACACTAAATCACCACAATACACCAAAACACTTTTACTTTTACACTAGACGCGCGTTTCGCTAACCATGTTAGCATCATCAGCAGATGATTATAAACTGCACTATGATGACTCAGTTTATAATCATCTGCTGATGATGCTAACATGGTTAGCGAAACGCGCGTCCAGTGTAAAAGTAAAAGTGTTTTGGTGTATTGTGATGATTTAGTGTTTTTATTTTGCTATATTTTTGGAAAGAAAATTTTAAGTTCTATTCAGTTAATTAAGAATATATAGGGTGTCCCAAATAAAAAATCAATTTTTCGTTGATTACTCTTAAATTATTAATTTCAAAAAAATTATACTTAATCCATTAAATTCTACATAAAAAGATGCTTTGGAAATGTTCTTTTAAAAATACAAAATTTTCCATAACAAAAAGTTGAAGCGATTTGTTAAAAACACATTTTTGAAAAACACCCCATAACTCCGAAAAGGTAACAGATATCAATGTTCGGTTTTCACCATCATGTTTTTGATAAAAATTGAGCTCCAGATACCGCTATTAGTTTTCTTCTAACTCCTATAAAAGAGTGTTTTCGTTTAAAAGCATCCAATTTGACGCACCCTGTACAGTATTTTGGAACGAAAATTTAATGTGATAAAAAATTATACAATGTTCTATTTAAAAACTACAACTCTATTTGGTGAATAGGATTTTTTGTATATACCGGGTGTGTCTCAAAAGTGGCTCACCCCTATAACTTTTTTATTTTATCAGATAAAAAATGAGATTTGGTATGTAAGCATATGAGATAAATTAGGATTGGTTGACGTATTCAATTCTTTTCGGCGACTTCCTCTTTCACCGGAAATGACTATAACTTCTAATTTTTAAATGGCACTTTCGGTATCTTTTTACTTTATTCGATAGAAAATTACATTCTGAATAGAATGACATATGTCAACTTTTGACATTTTTGCTTAAAACAAAACTGAATTTTAAATTTCAATCTAGAGTGCCATGGCTGTGTTAAAAACACTAATTTTTAATCAAGGAGCCTTGGAAAAATAGATTTGATCGTCTAATGTTATTCGTGTCTTGTCCTGGCCGGTTAAAAGATACTTAAATCATATTTTTAATCATATCTCAATTTTTTCAAATAGAACGAGGGTGGCTCATTAGCATATTTGGAAAAAGCATTTTTTTACGAATAATTTGATACCACACACTTGGTATTTCGAATCAAATTGTCATTATCAATCGCATGTTACAGTTTCAAATAAACCATATTCGAAAATGTCAAAAGTTGATATATCCATGATATGTCATTCTATTCAGAGTGTCATTCTTTATCGAATAAAGAAACAAAACACCGAGGGTACCATTTAAAAATCAAAAGTTGTACTCATTTCCGGTGAAACAGGAAGTAACAGAAAACAATTGAATACGTCAATCAATCCTAATTTCTGTCATATATTAATATACCAAATCTCGATATCTGAAAAAATAAAAAAGTTATAGGGGGTGAGCCACTTTTGAGACGCAACCGGTATACACTACCATTACCTGACTGTTTTCTAAGAATGAATGGAAAAAAATGGAGAAAATCTCAAAGAGGTCACTTTCCATACCTTTTGGAACAACGTATAGTTTTTCCTTCTTTCAAATATTAATATTTTCCAACGTCGTCATTGGCATTCCTTATCGCATTTCTCCTCAGGCAATACTAAAAACTAAAACTAGGTTAATTCGTCTCTATTCCAGAAATTTCTAGCTCGGATTTTTTCCAGAATCCGAACGTGATAGAGCTGCGCAATTTAGCGAACAACAACGTCCGGCATCGGCAAGATCTGCCGAAGCTTGTGGCGGACGATGCCCAATCCAATAAGGTTCCGGTAGGGCTCAAGGACATAAGCAAAAGGACCTTGAGTGATACGAGGCCTACGGGAAGCAACTATGTATAAAGCCTTTGAATAAGAAGTATAAAGCTTAAAACTAATAAATGTAAGGCTAGAATATTGAATAATGAGATTGGTTCAAATTTCCTGTTATCTTAGGCTGTATTCCGTTGCAAAACCAGGCGAACCAGACCGGTAAACTACGGTAAAGAGCGGTTCCTGAAAAACATCGGTTTGATACGGAACGGTTTTTTTTTAACACTGAAAACGTCAAATGTTGACGTTTTCTAAATTTCAATATCTATATTAAAAAATTTATCTTTTATGCATTTTAAATGTACCTATTATCTGCTTTTCCGTTTGCTTCTTCTTTTCAATGGAGTTTAATATTGAAAAGTACTTTATTAATGAACTGTTAAACTCGTTAGACAGCTCAAGTGAAGATTTGCAGGTCCAATATTAAAATAGATCAATAATAAATAAACAAGTCTAATCATTATTTATATTTTTATATCTTACAAAACATTCACGATTACTTGTCTTGTTTCTCATGTTTTCTTTAAATGTTCCTGACTTTAAGAAACAATGGCTGCATGATAAGTTTAAAAAGTCCTAAAAAGTCATTCTATTTTTATTAATTTACCTTTATTACCTACCTTCTTTGCTTTTGGATATAAATACAAAATATTATTACAAATTTTAGAAATTAAATGAGAATTTCACTCGAACTTCCAATATTTGCTTGATTTCTGTCACATAAATGACATTGATTAACAAACAAAACCAGCTTTCACGCTTTGGTTAGTTTGGTGACAGTAATTATGATAGATATTTTTCAGGAACCGTGTTCCGTAATAAGAAAACTTTCAGGAACCCGATAGAAACGGAACATAAAACCATAACAAAGGTAAGCAACGGAACACACCCTTAAGGTTTATTCACACTTGTCAGTCACGTCTCAGTTCCGTTCCGTCAAGCCATCTCAGCTCTATTTATTTTAACTTACACAAAGTTTCAGTCAGATGTAACTATCACTGACCCACAAAACATCCCCCTTTAGAACTTTTTCTTTAATGACCATAAGCGGGAGTAAAAGCCCAACCGCCCGAACAAACACTAGAGACGCCACCGGTCATCAAATGGTGTAAAAATTGCGAAAATTTAATCATCTAATCTTGACACAAGGGGTCGCGCTTAACTTTTTCAATTTTAATTCAATATTCATTGTTTTCAAACTATATTATTAGACTTTGTTGTATTTTATAAATGTATAAATGTTTTCTTAGTATAAAGTTGCATTATAGTAATTTAAATTATCTTACATACATATTTAAGATTCAAATATTATGACATATATGTCATTTGCCGTCTAAAATGTCATCTTGATTTCAAAAAGTTAGTTATTGTCAAAAGTAGTTAAAATCATGTTAAAATATTAGAATTTACAAGTTATAATTAGATATTTTATATTATTTCAACTATAAACACATAATAGTACACCGTAATGTTGATATGCAGGTCCAAAACAAAAACTGCCTTTATATTTTTCAGTTTTCGTTGTCAGCCGCGGTTGTATATATTTTTAATATATTTTTTTAAATTTACATTTTTTTAATTGTAAAGCAATATATTACATTTAAATGGAATATATTACATAACAATTATGTCAATTACAGGATTACAAGCTTGTTTTCTAACATTTTTAAAATAAAACGAATTATAATTTCAATATATGTATATTTGTCGTAGGTATGAAAAAAGTAAAATATAAAATGGACAAACGCTTACTTACATTGCAATAAAACTTCCACTTTTAGTTTTGCAATCCAAACGCAATATTTCTATTTCACAAATAAAAATATCCGACAACACTAAAATCACTGAAACTTCCGCAGCTGACAACGAAAACTGAAAGATATCACGGCACTTTTTGTTGTGGACCTGCATATCAACATTACGATGTATCATTATGTTTTTGTTTCTGAAATAATGTCAAATATCTAATTATAACTTGTAAATTTTAATATTTTAACATGATTTTAACTATTTCTGACATAACTAAGTTTTTGTTATCAAGATGTCATTTTAGACGGCAACTGACATATATGTATGTAATATAATTTAAATTAATATAATGCAACTTTATACTAAAAAAACATTTATACATTCACAAAATGCAACAAAGTCAACTTGTTGCAAAATTAGACGATTAAATTTTCGCAATTTTTACACTATTTGATGACTGGAGGCGCCTCTAGTGTTTGTTCGGGCGGTTGGTCTTTTACTCCCGCTTATGGCCATTAAAGAAAAAGTTCTAAAGGGGGATGTTTTGTGGATTTCTTCTATCCCGTGTTCCGATACTACCACAGAGTTTTAAGCTCTGTACTAAATAGGTATAACTCGAATATATACTGAAATGTACATGTCACATTTAAGTTATTCAATAAATTGAATAGTGACAGAAATATTCTGAAATTCCTAAAGTAGGTAATGAAATATTTTTATTACATCTTGTTATAACAAGGTGTCCCTAGCTGGGCTTGCATGAACTTTCTAAAGAACATTTTCTTGACAGACATAGGCAGTCGCTTGGCAGTAAAATGATATTTTGGAAGTACATGTACATTTTTTACCCAAGTGAAACACCCCTCGAGGGGGTTATTTCGTGTTTCCTCCTCTGACGAAAATCAGCCAAGACCAAAGTTAGACAAGGAAACTCAAAATATCTCTTCTCGACCTTGACCTACTAAAAACTTCTCGACCTTGACCTACTTCGGCTTACTTCGCGAGCAGTGTAGAGGCGTAGGTTTTTTCCTCAAAAACGGTTAATTTTATATACAGGGTGTCAAAAATAGTGTATCTAACTTTGGTGGGTGATTCTGCAGATAAAAATAAGACAAAAAGTTCCTATGAACATATGCCCTAAAATGCTTCCCGAAGAAGTTACAGCCCTGGAAAGGTTAAACAAAAATAATATACTTTGTTTATTGTTAAGAACATAAGAAAATTTGGTACTCTTACACACATTTTAATGCCAAAGCGAATGGCGATCGTATAAAATTCAGGGACACCATGGACAATGTTGCGTACAGTTGTGGCACAAGGCACAGGGCGATCTTGAAAGGTGAACACATAACGCCCAATGACCTCTTCCACACTTGAGGAAATGTAAAACCATTTAACGATATGCACCTTCTCTTCGGTCGTATAAATAGCCATTTTTGAAACACTTAACATACACACCGAAACAGCTAGGCGAAAAGAATGATGCAAAAATAGTTTGGATCTCAGGTGATCTATTTCCTTTCCCCACCCTTTCATCTACATAAATGTGCGTATTCACTATCCGAACGAACGAATGCTACTATCACTATCCAACGAGCGAACGTCCAGCCTTGTTCGCGCGGTTCTATAATTCTCATTCGTTTGCGAACGTCTCTGATATACCGACTGGAAACGGATGAGGGAGCGAACCGAATGGCGAACGGCCGCATGCATTCGGTTTGCTGTCCAAATATACCGAATTTCATTCTTTTGTTCTTTCGGATAGTGAATACGAACCTTAACATAAAGCACCGCCCCTCTCAATGCGTTCTACCACCATGCTTATGCTTTACCTTGCCCACACCCGTAAATACCGGCAACACTGTATCAGTCGCACCGGCCCCTCGCCGGCCCCTTTTGATGCTGTCTCTCTGTCTGTCAACCGGTCATTTCTATTATTCTCTGTCTTACACGTTAAAATCCTATACACAGTAATCAAATGACCAGGTAGGTATACGCTTTTATATCGACATAATCTTTGTAGACAAATACAAATTGATATTATTTATCTATGGTAATCGCAAAACAATTTCCGATCAACTTTGAGTGACAAGCGATGGCAACAGCGCTGCCAGATTGTGATGGATTTATGAGATGAATCTTGAAGTGACAAACAACATAAAGTGCGTCTGCTGGATCTGGGTCTATGAAAGGAATGCGGACAAAAAACATTTAAATAAACAGCAATATATTTTATACGTAACGAGTACGTAACCGCAAATCGCTCCGCCCACTCATTTTATTGGCTACTTGCAAATTTGTCGAATTTTTATTGATGGGACGCGTCGTCTAATTTTTTACGAAAAACATCGAGAAAATATCGTTTCCCCTCTCACGGATTCTGGGGTGTGATCTCAAAGGGTACTTTCCACTAGGGTAGATAGTACTACTGGAGGTACTTATTTTATCCTTATAGATACAGTAATTTCAACAAATGAAAATTAAAGCTAGGACTTTTTTACGCAAATAAGTTGCTCTTCGTTTAGTTCGAAACGGTTAACGGCTTTTTCAAGATATTTGCCTTTAAAGGTTACGATGCATCGATTTTAGTATTAGCGAAATGATAAAAAATATTCTCCTATTTCTGTTTCCTGTTTCTTGAACCTGTTTCGAACCAAACGAAGAGCATCTTTACATAAAAGAGTCCTAGCTTTAATTTTTTATTGAAATAACTGTATCTATAAGGATAAAAGAACTACCACCGGCCCCTACCCTAATAGAAAGTACCCTTTCAGGGCTGTTGCCGGATTTTACACTAGCGCCATTCGCTTTGGCATTAAAGTGTGTGTAAAAGTACCAAATTTCAAGAAAAACAGTGTACCAATGTTCTTAAAAATAAACAAAATATATTATTTTATTTACACTTTTGTGAGGGCTGTAACTTCTTCGGGAAGCGTTTTGCGGCATATGTTCATAGGAACTTCTCGTTTTATTTTTATCGGCAGAAGTATCTACCGAAGTTAGATATACTATTTTTTGACACCCTGTATAAAGTAGTGTTTGATATCAAAATACATCAAATTTTATTTGTGTTATCTAGGTAAATTAGTTCTCTAGAAGCTTACAATGCAATCTCCTAACCAGGGACACCCTGTATATGTTTGCTACCTATGATTTTTTTTCTAATAGACAAACATATAGACTAAGTAGTTTTAGTAATATTACTAGCCACTGTATAGTATTTATTTTTAATGATGTAAATACAAACGAATTAATTGTATATAGAAGTATAGGTTAAGAAGTGAATAATTTATAATTATTAATAAGTAAGTTTAGACATGTAAGATCGAATGCCTTATAGCTTTAAAAGCAAATGTAATACAATTTACTCCTTTTTTAGTTAGTTTAAGTTATTTATTGCAAATTTTTTTGAGACACATTTTATTACTGATAATAGATCGTTCCTAAAGTATACGTTAAAATTGGAGGAACTGACTGCCTCATAATTTTTGAAGATATCTCGTTTTTTTTTGGGCTGCATATTATTAATTATTAGAGATGAGCAAAACCGCGATTTTCCAATCGCAGTTGAAACTGCGATTGTGATTTGTAAATCGCTGCGACTGTAACCTGCGATTGCGATTTTGATTTTTTAAATTGGTACGCTGT